GGTATGCGGATTGTCCGTTATGCAAGGCGTCCGGTATGCGGGGGTCCACTGCATGTGAACAGTATTTAGATAAAGGTAGGGAAGTTTTTATTGCATTTATGGATTTAGAAAAGGCATATGATAGAGTGGATAGAGGAGCAATGTGGCAGATGTTGCAAGTATATGGAATAGGTGGCAAGTTATTAAATGCTGTAAAGAGTTATGAAGATAGTGAGGCTCAGGTTAGGGTGTGTAGAAGAGAGGGAGACTACTTCCCGGTAAAAGTAGGTCTTAGACAGGGATGTGTAATGTCACCATGGTTGTTTAATATATTTATAGATGGGGTTGTAAAGGAAGTAAATGCTAGGGTGTTCGGGAGAGGGGTGGGATTAAATTTTGGGGAATCAAATTCAAAATGGGAATTGACACAGTTACTTTTTGCTGATGATACTGTGCTTATGGGAGATTCTAAAGAAAAATTGCAAAGGTTAGTGGATGAGTTTGGGAATGTGTGTAAAGGTAGAAAGTTGAAAGTGAACATAGAAAAGAGTAAGGTGATGAGGGTGTCAAATGATTTAGATAAAGAAAAATTGGATATCAAATTGGGGAGGAGTATGGAAAAAGTGAATGTTTTCAGATACTTGGGAGTTGACGTGTCGGCGGATGGATTTATGAAGGATGAGGTTAATCATAGAATTGATGAGGGAAAAAAAGGTGAGTGGTGCGTTGAGGTATATGTGGAGTCAAAAAACGTTATCTATGGAGGCAAAGAAGGGAATGTATGAAAGTATAGTAGTACAAACACTCTTATATGGGTGTGAAGCTTGGGTGGTAAATGCAGCAGCGAGGAGACGGTTGGAGGCAGTGGAGATGTCCTGTTTAAGGGCAATGTGTGGTGTAAATATTATGCAGAAAATTCGGAGTGTGGAAATTAGGAAAAGGTGTGGAGTTAAAAAAAGTATTAGTCAGAGGGCAGAAGAGGGGTTGTTGAGGTGGTTTGGTCATTTAGAGAGAATGGATCAAAGTAGAAAGACATGGAAAGCATATAAATCTATAGGGGAAGGAAGGCGGGGTAGGGGTCGTCCTCGAAAGGGTTGGAGAGAGGGGGTAAAGGAGGTTTTGTGGGCAAGGGGCTTGGACTTCCATCAAGCGTGCGTGAGCGTGTTAGATAGGAGTGAATGGAGACGAATGGTACTTGGGACCTGACGATCTGTTGGAGTGTGAGCAGGTTAATATTCAGTGAAGGGATTCAGGGAAACTGGTTATTTTCATATAGTCGGACTTGAGTTTTGGAAATGGGAAGTACAATGCCTGCACTTTAAAGGAGGGGTTTGGGATATTGGCAGTTTGGAGGGATATGTTGTGTATCTTTATATGTGTATGCTTCTAAACTGTTGTATTCTGAGCACCTCTGCAAAAACAGTGATAATGTGCGAGTGTGGTGAAAGTGTTGAATGATGATGAAAGTATTTTCTTTTTGGGGATTTTCTTTCTTTTTTGGGTCACCCTGCCTCGGTGGGAGACGGCCGACTTGTTGAAAAAAAAAAAAAACACCTTTCGCAACATCAGCTTCCTTGATTTGTTCTTTCTTTGCCAGGATAGAACCGATGGTCGACTTGTTTTTCCCATACATCCTGGCAAGCTCAGTAAGTCTCACACCACTCTCATACTTCTGTATTATTTCCTTCTTCACATCTATGGTGTTTCTCACTTTCTTTACCACAGGGGTACCACTAGCAGGTTTCTTTGGGCCCATGGTAGCTTATTTCACAGTCCGACAAGCACTAAACACAATGAAATAATCGTAAAATGTTTGAATGAGAGTGCAGGTTAGTGTTCACTCAAGCATCAACAAAGCCAGACTGGTTTACGGCACCTGCACGAGGACACGGACAGAGCGGGCTGATGGACAGGTCCGGTACCTGGCAGTCCGAAAATAGGGGCACGTTTGATAATAGGGACAAAGTTGGTTCGAAAAAAGGGCTCTATCTTTGAGACGTTCGATAAGTGATACGTTCGAAATTTGAGGTTCCACTGCATTTCTATACAACATGTTAAATGAAAGTTCAAAACAGAAATCTGCACACAACAATGGAGCCTTAATAAAAAAGAAAAAATAGAATGGCTATAGTTCCTGGTAGGAAACCCCTTAAGGGAGGTTCCTTGATGCTGGTAAGGGCTTTTTTTAATTGAGCCTGAATGCCTTCCATATCTTGATTTGGAAGATATGTAAATCCTACAAGAAAGTGTCTTTAACCTTTTCATTGTCCTGACCCTTGTGAAACTTATCCATAATGTCCAAGAATTTAAAAAAAAAAATTTTATTTTTTCATACGAAATGGTAGAGAATCTTTTTCTGATGGCAATAAAACAAAAAAGTATGAAAATTGATGGAAAATTGACAAAATTACGCTTACTCAAATTTTGCTGCATCAGTGATATTTACGTGTTGGTGATTTTGCTCATTTTGAGTCCTATTTTAGGTCAATTACTTTATCCAGTCAAGCAAATTCTTATCTATTTTGCTCTTATGTCTTCCATTTTATCGATTGAGCACAAGAAATCACCCAATCAATCATTTCAACTGCCCAGTAAAGTGATCAGAAATTGGTAATTTGGCCAGTTTTACACAAATTTCAAAATATTCCAGTTTCAAAATAGGGTTTAGGATAAACAGTGCGGGAATTCCTGGCACTAAAACATTTCCTCTCTTTATTATTATTAGTTATGTTCCCAGGCTTTACACGTGAATTCCATTTTGATTTTTTATTCACATGAAGAATTTTTATTCACACATAAAAAAATAGAAGATTTACTGTTATGCAATATTGTAATAATTGCATAAATAATATCAGTGCATTTATGAACGCATATTAGACCCACTAATTGATGTGTATTGGACGTGTGACGTGATTTGTTTACTCCAGAACACCGGCAAAAATCGAACACTTCCGCTAATTTCAGCCCAATTTCAAGCTATTTTCAGTCCTAAAACCAATCAAAATTGTCTCAATTTCTGTAATATATTTTCCATTCTGTCAAATGAGACCAAGAAACTGAGGATACAACCATGAAAACCATACGAAAATACACCACAGAGTTTCTGTTTTAACCCTTAGACTGTCCAAACATAGATCTTTGTTGATGTGTGTTGTGCTCCAACCTTGATTTTCTCCATTTGAAAGCATATAAAATTGGACGTAGATCTACGTTCAGAGCACTACGCATGTCACCATAGATCTACGTTTGGACAGTTTAAGGGTTAAACCAAAAATATGGTCAGTTTTTTTTTCTCATGTACTGTATGCTGCAGGATTTTTTTTTTTATATAGTGCACATAAACCCATTCTCTCAGATGTCGGCCCAAATTTACTACTAATAGCTTATCTGAGTGAGGTGAGCTCATGGCATAGTAGTACAGCACTTACAGTGACCTCAAAGTCGTAGTACTACGGCACAGTCAGTGAAAGGGTTAAATCACTGACTGATTTTGTCTAATTTTATTTTTTAACATAAAAAAATAGGGTTAAGTAAATTCGTATTTATTCCCAGTTGTATCAAAGAGTAAGTCAAAAGTCAGTCTCAACAAGTATTTAATAAACTACGTATATAATTAAGTCCTGTACACCCTATGGGTGTATAGGAGAGAGGGAGATTACTTCCCAGTAAAAGTAAGCCTTAGACAGGGATGTGTAATGTCACCATGGTTGTTTAACATATTTATAGGTGGGGTTGTAAAAGAAGTAAATGCTAGGTTGTTGGGGAGAGGGGTGGGATTAAATTATGGGGAATCAAATACAAAATGGGAGTTGACACAGTTACTTTTTGTTGATGATGCTGTGCTTTTGGGAGATTATAAAGAAAAGTTGGTGTTAGTGGATGAGTTTGGGAGGGTAAATAAAGGAAGAAAGTTGAAAGTGAATGTAGATAAGAGTAAGGTAATGAGGGTATCAAACAATTTAGAAAAAGAAAAATAGGATATCACATTGGAGGGAGCAAATATGGAAGAAGTGAATGTATTCAGATATTTGGGAGTTGACTTATCAGCAGATAGGTTTATGAAGGACAAGGTTAACTATAGAAGTGATAAAGGAAAAAAGGTGAGTGGTGCTTTGAGATATATGTGAAGACAAAAAATGTTATCCATGAAGGTAAAGAAGGGAATGTACGAGAGTATAGTGGTACCATTACTTTTATGTGGGTGTGAAGCATGGGTTGTAAATGCTGCAGCAAGGAGGAGGCTGGAGGCAGTTGAGATGTCATGTCTAAGGGCAATGTGTGGTGTAAATATTATGCAGAGAATTTGTAGTGTAGAAATGAGGAGGAGGTGTGGAGTTACTAAAAGTATTAGTCAGAGGACTGAAGAGGGGTTGTTGAGGTGGTTTGGTCATTTAGAGAAGGTGGAACAAAGTAGAATGACTTGGAGAGCGTATAAATCTGTGGTGGAAGGAAGGCGGGATAGGGGTCATCCTTGGAAAGGTTGGAGGGAGGAGGTAAAGGATGTTTCGTGGGCGAGGGGTTTGGACTTCCAGCAAATGTGCGTGAGCGTGTTAGACAGGAGTGAGTGAAGACAAATGGTTTTTGGGACCTGACAAGCTGTTGGAGTGTGAGCAGGAGTGTGAAGGGATTCAGGAAAACTGGTTAGCTGGACTTGAGCCCTGGAGATGGGAAGTACAGTGCCTGCACTTTAAAGGAGGGGTTTGGGATATTGGCTGTTTGGGGAGACATCTAAACTGTCATATCTGAGCATCTCTAGAAAGACAGTGATTTTATGTGAATGATGGTGAAAGTGTTGAACGATGATGAAAGTTTTTTCTTTCTTTTTGGGTCACCCTGCCTCAGTGGGAAATGACGGACGTGTTAAAAAAATAATTAGTCATTAATATTTATTGCTTTTGACCTTCTCATCACTTTTAAGCTCAAGCATTTGATTGAACATTTTCTTGTTTGTAATTCATATTGTTTCATATTAAAAGTTTAATATTTTATTAAGTTTCTTCACTAATAATAAATGTCAACAGCCCATTGGAATGACTCCTCTTCACTTGGCTGCACAAAATGGGCATTATGAAACCTGTGATCGTCTGTTGTGTGCTGGTATGAACAAAGATGCACGGAACAAGGTACAGTATGCTTGTATCAGCCAGTGATTACTGTTTTATAGGCTGTATATTTTTAACTACAGTATTCAGTAATTAGAGTTCAGGGGGCCCTCAAGTAGAGAAGCATGTTTACTCGACCAAAACTTGTCATTGGGTAAAATGTCATGCTGTTTGTACTAGAGTATAGGTCAAGATTTTAAGAACAAGTTTTTTAGCAAAAAAGTAGGGGATCAATGTATTCATCAGTAATACTCTTGAAAGGTTGAAATCCTCACATATTGTGGGCCTGCAACACACTAGATTTCTTTTTCTTTGGTGCATCAAGGGAAAAAACCATTTTCCACCTTTAAATATACAAGTAAATTTAATAACATCCAGTAGTGTTATTTGTTCTGGTCAGGTTTTAGGGAGACCCTGTCAGGTTTCAGAAAGGCCTGGCCAGTGTCAATAGAGATCTGAACGTTTTCCAGGGATACCTGGCCGGGTTCCTGGGAGACCCAGCTGGGCTCAAAGGAGACCTGGTCAAGCACTGTTAAAAAGAATTCTAAACCTTCCTCCTTTTGGTTGATTTGTGTTAAATTAGATTAAAGTTAATTATCTTAAATATACATTATACACCACAAATAACCAAAAGCATTGGAAGTTCATGAATGTGGTGGACAATGCCTTCTTGTCTCAGTTTATGTACATTACAGCAATGGTTCACAAATAACGTTTCGGTTCAACTTGGACCATTCACAAGTCACATTGATAGAGGAGAAGGAGTGAGCCAGTTTACATAGGGAAGGGGGAAAGGAATGGGAGAAAAAGAGGAAGAAAAAGTAGTGGTGATTGAGGTATTGCTAGTAGTGGAAGTGGAAGTAGTAGTAGTAGTGGTACTACTAGGCAGAAAAGCCAGCCTTCCTACCTGGCCTTCCTGCCTCCCTTTGAACAATGAAGCTAAAACCATGAGTACCATAGTTTTAAAAATAGGAAATATGCAAGTGAGAAAGGTTGGATTTGAGTAGGACCTGACTTTAATGGGCCAGTAAGCCTACTGCAGTGCTTCTCTTAGTTTTATGTTAAGTGTGGCAACTGCAGTAATCACCTGTTATATAAAGAAAGTGACAGAAGAAGTCAGCATGACCTACTGGATATAAATTTTAGTATATTTAAAGTGGAATATGGTTACCAAGTGTGACTTTTACCTTAATGCTTAAAGGAATCTAGTGTGTGATAAGCTATCACTATACAATAATTTCAGTTAAAGTGTTATGCATGACTAGGCTAACCTCTGATATTTTACTTAAAAACTCTTGTACCTGGGGATCAACAGCAGCAACACACCTATAACCAATAATAACCCAACAAAGAGCCGCAATAAGAATTATCACGCAATCCAGTCTCGGGCAACCCCCCACACTCTTCAGACCTAAACTTACTCACTGTACAAAACATCCACACTTACTACTGTGAAAACTACATTTACAGAACCATAAATTCCAATATTAACCCTGAACTAAAACACCTTCTTGATAGTTGTGACAGGACCCATAGACACAATACCACACACAAAAATCTCTATGACATTCCCCGTGTCCAGCTAAATCTATACAAACGTTCAATGCACATTAAAGGGCCTAAAATCTGGAACTTCCTGCCTGAAAACTCTAGGACTGCTGACTCAACCATCATTTTCAAAACTACCGTCAAAAAAATCATTTCTCCCTAACACACTCCAAACTACATGAAAAACCATCCATACATGCACACACGCACACATCCTCCTCATTTACATCTACACTGACCCACATGACTGTAAACATAAAATTCCAAATATAGCTATTGCCTAATAAATCTCAAGCTAGTCCTAAGTTTGCCTGAGATACTCCAATATAGGAGCTTTAATAGAAACTGTGTATCATGCCAAGATAAAACCATTCTCATTACTAATTTAACAAATTGTTATATTCTTAAATGTGCTGAACTACCTCAATATTGTAAATCCATCTAATCATTTGTAATTTGTAATACAGAGTTAGAATTATTATTAGTCTTCCCGAAATGCCAAGGCATGCCAGGCATGCTAGTAGCCATGTTTGTAATTATTGTTTCATAATATGTAAACTATCCACTGTAATCTTTAAAGAGAAATATAAACATACATGTATATACATCACAGTTTTCAGGATTTTACACTTGTGATCATTATGACTTTCTTGTTCCAGTGTACAGTAGTCAGTCATCATACTGATCATCAGGATTCCCCTATATTTTCATGATGGCTATGTCTTGCTGAAATCATTTGCCATGGGGTTCTGTTTCACAGAGACTGTATATGTTGAAGTAAAATTAAGTTCAGATTTGAATTCAGCTTCCCAAAATTAGTTAGAAAAATGTTTTTAAATATGAACTGAAACATTTGTTAACCACTGTAATCATTAATGTAGTGCTAATTATAAACTTGCACATTAAAACAAGGAAGAGATTGCATTTTTAATAAAAATAGTCTTATATATAGATAAGGCATGGATAAACACTTGTGCATAGTTTAGAATATTTATTAATGGAAACATCTTGCCACAAGGAGCTTCAGGCTTAATACATAGTAAGCAGAAAATAGGGTTTTCAGTAGTGGTCTGAGACAGGTGACACTTGGCAAGGGTGTAGTGGGGCTGTAGCATGTGACATCTGATTTTGATAAGGATACTCTGATTGATAAGGATACTCTGTTGGCTAAGAGTTGGGCAACACTGAATCTTCCAGATTTTGGAGGTATTGTCTGCTTCCATTGGTCACTTTCACAAATAACTAATAGGGTCTTGTTTCATTTCATGAAGTGCATGATTGTCTTCGTGTTGCACAAAGCTGTTGCAACAGTCATACAGGTAACAGTGTATTTGTGAAGTCAAATTTCCAGTGATCTATCAATTTCTCCTACGTGATTTTTATTGCCTCTCCACCTGGTATAACAGATACTCCTGAGCTGGTAAAAGAGTAGCTCTTACATTTGTGCACTAGGTTTTTGACTGATAACGAAGAGTTGCTTGCTGTTTTAACGAGTTCGTTGTTTACTGTGTTAGCCACATAAGCAGTATTAATAGACTAGGGTTTAATACTGGTATTGTTAATACATTCAGAATAGCTTACTAGTTATTTAACCTTATTTGTATTATTCTCTGTCTTGCTTAAAATTGGTATTGTTAATACATTCAGAATAGCACTTACTTGTTATTTAACCTTATTTGTATTATTGTTTGTCTTGCATTTGCCTAACTGTATGTACTCATGAAGTCTCATTGTATTTATAGAAAGGAATTCTCTTCATCTTCATTCTGATCTCTCACTTCTCCTGACCATATTAGTAAATATTATTTTTGTTTCTGTAAAAAAAATAGATTTTAAAAATATATATATTTTTTTAACACGGCCATTTCCCACCAAGGTAAGGTGGACTGAAAAAGAAAAATTTTCATCATCATTCACTCCATCACTGTCTTGCCAGAGGTGCGCTTACACTACAATTATAAAACTGCAACATTAACACCCCTCCTTCAAAAGGCAGGCACTGTACTTCCCATCTCCAGGACTCGAGTTGAGCCTCCTGGTTTCCCTGAATCCCTTTATAAATATTACCTTGCTCACACTCCAACAGCACATCATGTCCTAAAAACCATTTGTCTCCATTCGCTCCTATCTCTCATGCTCATGCATGCTTGCTGGAAGTCCAAGCCCCTTGCACACAAAACCACCTTTACCCCCTCCCTGCAACCTTTCCTAGGCCAACCCATACCCTGCCTTCCCTTCACTACAGATTTATACACACTCGAAGTCATTCTATTTCGTTCCACCCTCTCTACATGTCCAAACCACCTCAACAACCCCTCTCATCCCTCTGGAAAATAGTTTTGATAATCCTGCACCTCCTCCTAATTTCCAAACTACGAATTCTCTGCATTATATTCACACCATACATTGCCCTCATACACGACATTTCCACTGCCTCCAGCCTTCTCTGTTGCAACATTCACCATCCATGCTTCACATCCATATAATTATAATCAAAGAAAGCGCTAAACTGACAACACCCATATAAGAGCATTGGTATAGCTATACTCTCATACATTCCCCTCTTTGCTTCCATGGACAAAGTTCTTTGTTTCCACAGACTGAGAGTACCGCTCATCTTTTTCCCCTTGTCAGTTCTGATTCACCTCATCTTTCATAGACCCATCTGCAGACACATCCGCTCCTAAATATCTGAATACATTCACCTCCTCCATACTCTCTCCCTCCAATCTGATAACCAGTCTTTTGTTGCCTAATTTTTTTGTTATCCTCATCACCTTACTCTTTCCTTAGTCATTTAATTTTCTTCTTTTAAATACCCTATCAAACCCATCCACCAACCTCTGCAACTTCTCTTCAGGATCTCCCAAAAGCACAGTCTCATCGGCAAAGAGCAACTGTGACAACTCCCACTTCGTGTTAGATTCTTTATCTTTTAACCTCACATCTCTTCCCAACACCTGGGCATTCACTTCTCTTACAACTCCATCTATAAATATATTGAACAACAATGGTGACATCACACATCCTTGTGTAAGGCCTACTTTTACTAGGAAATAATCTCCCTCCCTCCTACATACTTTAACCTGAGCCTCACTATCCTCATAAAAACTCTTCACTGCTTTCAATAATCTACCTCCTATTCCATTCATTTGCAACATCTTTCACACTGACCCCTGTCCACCCTGTCATATGCCTTTTCCAAATCCATAAATGCCACAAAAACCTCTTTACCCTTATCTAAATACTGTTCACCTATATGTTTCACTGTAAACACTTGGTCTACACACCCCCTACCCTTCCTAAAGCCTCCTTGTTCATCTGCTATCCTACTCTCCATCTTAGTCTTAATTCTTTCAATAATAACTAACATACTCTTTACCAGGTATACTCAACCGACCTTCTTTCAACAAACCGGCCATATCCCACCAAGGCAGGATGGCTCAAAAAGAAAAACAAAAGTTTCTCTTCTTAACTTTAGTAATGTATACAGAAGAAGGGGTTACTAGCCCCTTGCTCCTGGCATTTTAGTCGCCTCTTACAACACGCATGGCTAACGGAGGAAGAATTCTGTTCCACTTTCCCATGGAGAACTCAACAGACTTATTCCCCTATAATTTTTGCACTCTCTTTTGACCCCTTTGCCTTTATACACAGGAACTATGCATGCTGTCTTCCAATCTCTAGATACCTTACCTTCTTCCATAGCACCAACGACTCCAAAACTATATCCCCCACCTGCTTTTAACATTTCTGTCTTTATCCCATCAATCCCAGCTGCCTTACCCCCTTTCATTCTACCTGCTGCTTCATGAACTTCCCCCACACTCACAACTGGCTCTTCCTCACTCCTACAAGATGTTATTCCTCCTTGCCCTATACACGAAATCACAGCTTCCCTATCCTCATCAACATTTAACAATTCCTCAAAATATTCCCTCCATCTTCCCAGTACATCTAACTCTCCATTTAATAACTCTCCTATTATTATAGGTATATTAAACGGTATATAGTACAAAACTATTTTGCTACTTATATCAACCATTGGCAGGTAGAGAAAACTCCTCTACATCTGGCTGCTATGGAGGGTCACACGGATATTGTATCTTTACTTGTCAAGACTGGGGCCAACATAAATGCCTGTGATATGGTAAGATTTTCCTACAGGATTTAATTTGTTTTTCATCTTGGAACTCGAGTACATGACAGTTATTGATACCTTGTTATTTCTGGGAACTTCCCTCAGACCATGAGGGCCCTAGATAGTCCTATCTCAAAATTATATTCTAACCTGTCTTTCTTGTATAATCGTCATAGGACCTTTACTGTATGTACTCTTTTATACTTATTTTCCATGATGCTTATTGAGTACCAATTTTTCAGAAACCTCTTATTTGACTCCTGGATATTTGTGCAGTCCTATCATCCATCATTTTTTCTTAACCTACTATTGTTCTCTCACTTCTTCCCCACACTTCATTATTACTTAATCTTCTTTTTGATGTACCCAGGAAGAAAATACTGTTCTGCCATATGGCAAGATTCCTGTCTTTATCTCATAAATATATAAGATGTCAGATAAATCTTGCTACTGTACTAGTAGTTACACCCAGAGTACACTACAGTTGCGCCTGTTTATGTATATATATACACACATCCAAGTTTCCTCTAATTTTTTACTTCTTGTTCATGTTACAGTTCCTTTCAATTCCATGGGGAAGTGGGTTTAAATTTTTCTTCAGTCAGCAATGAGTATCATATATGGTAACAGAAATGAGGGGAGAAAGGGCTAGGAACCCTTCCCCCCCTCCCCTTTATCCATTACTAAAAAAGATAAAAAGGCAATTTTAAAATTGGGTTTTATTTGAATTTGCATGATGTGTAATTAGATTGATAATTTATTGTTTATTTTAGGATCAACAAAAAGCTGCATGTTCTGGACTGAGTGCAACAAAAGCTAAATGGGGTGTATTGAGAGAACAATAGCTAAAGTTTTTAAGTGAGTTAGTGGAAATTTAATAATAAACTGTGGATAGAAGTGGGGTTAAATCTTTAAATTCAATATGTTTTGGATTAGTATAAAGGCAGGAAATAGAAGTGGGTTATAGTAAATGTTTACAGATCTGAGCGAGAGAGAACGTAAGAGGGACAGAGATTTTAGGAGACTCAACAAAATATTAGGGTGTTGAAGCAGCAAGAGAATAGTTGTGAGGTCCTAAATGCCTAAAGTGGACTGTTAGATGCCATAGTGGGTAAGTTTGGCATCCAAAGGGTTAAATTGAAACTTAAATTGGCCCCTCTAATTGATTATGTTTGGAAGAGGTTTGAATAAATAGAAGATAACTGTACCTATTTTAAGAAAAAAGGCTAATAACTATCCAGAAATGATACGGTGTTATGACAGCAGCTATATCAATAAATATTGTTGGTAGACTTTTGGATGTGCATGCTTTTAGAGGGTCATCAAATTTACTGGATCATTATTTAATGGTAGCTACTTTGAGAGTAAGAGATAGATAGATAGAGTACAAAGAGAATGGCATCAGTGAGAGAGAAGTGAAAGGGAATGAATGACAGGAGGAGATGGGGAAAGATATAAGGAACTATTAGTAGAAAAGCGTACTAATGAGAGTACAGGTAATGAGGAGGAGGTTGAAGAGGTATGTGGGTAGATTTGAGAATGCAGGGCTAGAGTGCAGCAGTTCAAAGGTATAGGAAGGCGAGTGTGGATGGGAAGAGAAATGATTGGTGAAATAATGAGGTAAAGATGCTGGTAAGGAAGTGTAAGTTAGCATGTGAGAGGTTTTTACAATGTAGGAATGATGTATGGAAGACAGAATATATGGACAGAGAAAGAGGTTAAGAGTGATGAAGGATTGCAAAAGGAGAGCCAATAAAAAAGTATGAGGCATTTATCACCAGATTTTGCTCAAAATGATGAACAGTTTTGGAATGAGATTGGTATGTAAATATTACTTGCTACCAGCAATATTTATTTTTTATTTTATTTTATTTATTTTTTGAGCGACACAGATTAGTTCTTTTATGCTGTAATTTTCTAAGAAAAAAACTAACTCCCTTGCAGAGGTAGTTAAAAGATCCTCACATAGTGTGAAAGCTAGGGAAGCAAATGGACCAGGCAGTTAAAAATAAGAGGAAATGTTAGATAGGGAGGTGGAGGTGCTGGGAAGATGGAGAGAATATTTAGAGGAGCTGTGCAATATTGATGAAGTAAAGGGGCAGTGATTTCATATATTGGGCAGGGAGGAAAAACATTTTAGAAGTAAGGAAGAGCTTAGTTGAGAAAGTGGGGAAAGGGCATGAAGTGATAAGCAGAATACAGTGGACCCTCGACCAACGTTGGCATCGTCTAACGTTAAATTCGACTAGCGATACATTTTAACGCAAAAATTTTGCCTTGACTAGCGCTAAAAAACCTGACGAATGCTATTCGTTCCGTTCGAGACGCGTCCACTTGTGGTCTGAGCGCGCCTCACTTGTCCCATGGGTGCCAGTGTTTACAAGCCAGCCAGCCACCGCGGTCCCATCCAAACATACAATCGGAATATTTCATATTATCACAGCGTTTGTAGTGATTGCACCTGCAAAATAAGTCATCATGGGCCCCAAGAAAGCTTCTAGTGCCAACCGTACAGCAAAAAGGGTGAGAATTACTATGGATATGAAGAAAGAGATCATTGCTAAGTATGAAAGTGGAGTGCATGTCTCCGAGCATGCCAGGTTGTACACAAAACCCCAATCAACCATCGCTACTATTGTGGGCAATAAAACGGCAATCAAGGCAGCTGTTCTTGCCAAAGGTGCAACTATGTTTTCGAAACTGAGATCGCAAGTGATAGAAGATGTTGAAAGACTGTTATTGGTGTGGATAAACGAAAAACAGATAGCAGGAGATGGCATCTCTCAAGCGATCATATGTGAAAAGGCTAGGAAGTTGCATGACGATTTAATTAAAAAAATGCCAGCAACTAGTGGTGATGTGAGTGAATTTAGGGCCAGCAAAGATTGGTTTGAGAGATTTAAGAATCATAGTGGCATACATAGTGTGATAAGGCATGGTGAGGCTGCCAGTTCGGACCACAAAGCGGCTGAAAAATATGTGCAGGAATTCAAGGAGTACATAGACAGTGAAGGACTGAAACCTGAACAAGTGTTTAATTGTGACAAAACAGGCCTGTTTTGGAAGAAAATGCTAAGCAGGACCTACATTACTCAGGAGGAAAAGGCACTCCCAGGACATAAGCCTATGAAGGACAGGCTTACTCTGTTGATGTGTGCCAATGCTAGTGGTGATTGCAAAGTGAAACCTTTATTGGTGTATCACTGAAACTCCCAGAGTGTTCAGGAAAAACAATGTCCTCAAGGCTAATTTGTGTGTGCTGTGGAGGGCAAACAGTAAGGCATGGGTCACTAGGGACTTTTTCTATGACTGGTTACACCATGCATTTGCCCCCACTGAAAAATTACCTAATTGAAAATAAATTTGACCATAAGTGCCTCCTGGTATTAGACAATGCTCCTGGTCATCCTTCAGACTTGGCAGAGCGACTTTCTGCGGACATGAGCTTCATTAAGGTGAAGTTTTTGCCTCCTAATACCAGTCCTCTCCTGCAGCCCATGGACCAGCAGGTCATTGCAAACTTCAAGAAACTGTACACAAGAGCTATGTTTGAAAGGTGCTTTGTAGTGACCTCAGAAACTCAACTGACTCTAAGAGAGTTTTGGAGAGATCACTTTAGCATCCTCAGTTGTGTAAACATTATAGGTAAGGCTTGGGAGGAAGTGGCTAAGAGGACCTTGAACTCTGCTTAGAAAAAACTGTGGCCAGAATGTGTAGACAAAAGGGATTTTGAAGGGTTTGAGGCTAACCCTGGGAATCCTATGCCAGTTGAGGAATCCATTGTGTAATTGGGGAAATGGTATAAACCTTGGTAATAAATACCGACAAGTTGGTTTAGAAAGACACGTAAGCAAACACTATAACATATTTATTAGAAAACGTTTTGGTCCTGGGACCTTGATCACTTCTAACATACAGAGGTAGAAAGACATTATATATATAGGCGGAGAGTGAGATGTGACGCACGTGACCTGAGGAATGTCATAAGAACATAAGAATGGAGGCCTACTGGCTCATGCGAGGCAGGTCTTTATCAAAACAACCTCTACCTGTGATGAGGACGGGTAGACGATGAAATCATGTGACTCCTGTGTTGTTGGGTTGGTGCTGCTTAAGTATCATGTATGCCAATGTTTTTGAAAATTTTGTAGTTTCCAGTGTTGCGTTCTATAGTGTCGGTGATGGCGATTAGTGAGGCTTCTAGGCACCGTCGGCGTCTGAGGTCTGGTTCGGTGAGAACGAGTTGTGCCTCATTCCAGTTCATCAAAAACATTGGCATACATGATACTTAAGCAGCACCAACCCAACAACACAGGAGTCACATGATTTCATCGTCTACCCATCCTCATCATAGGTAGAGGTTGTTTTGATAAAGACCTGCCTCGCATGAGCCAGTAGGCCTTCTACAGTGTTCCTCCATTCTTATGTTCTTATGACATTCCTCAGGTCACGTGCGTCACATCTCACTCTCCGCCTATATATATAATGTCTTTCTACCTCTGTATGTTAGAAGTGATCAAGGTCCAAGGACCGAAACGTTTTCTAATAAATATGTTATAGTGTTTGCTTACGTGTCTTTCTAAACCAATTGGGGAAGTCCTTGGGGTTGGAGGTTAGTGGGGAGGATGTGGAAGAGTTGTTGGAGGAGGACAATGAAGAACTAACCACTGATGAGCTGCTAGATCATCTTCAACAGCAAGAGGCCACACCTGAGGAAACTGCTTCGGAGGAGGGGATAGAGAAATTGAAGAAGTTGCCTACTTCAAAGATTAAGGAAATGTGTGCAATGTGGCTTAAAATGCAAACCTTTTTTGATGAAAATCACCCTGACACAGCTACTGCAAGCCGTGTTGGCAACCTGTACACTGACAATGTTGTGAAACACTTTAGGAATGTCATAAAGGAACGGGAGGTACAGGCCTCTATGGACAGACATGTTGTGCGACAGAGGTCCAGTGACTCTGAAGCTGGTCCTAGTGGCATTAAAAGAAGAAGGGAAGTAACCCCGG